AATTCTTCTACTTTTAAATTCGGGCTTAGATTTCGTGTTAAAATTTCGAATTAATTTGGGTGACTCATATGGCTAATCTTCACATCGAAAATTTAATATGATCTTAATTAGTTTTAGATTAAATTACTCTTAAACAAAAAAAAGTTCAAAGACTTTTTGTAAATTTTTAATAATTACAAACAAATTCTTAGAAAATTAAGTCTCCTAAATATTAATATACAACAAGTTAAGATTTAATAAAGGAAGTTGAAAAGAAAAAAAGGTAATCATAGTTTAAATATTATATATAATGTATTTTAAAGTAAAAATATATATGAAAATAATATTATAATTCGGGTTCGAGTTGGTTCGGGTTGCTAGGATTTCAACCCAAGCCTAATTCTAATTTAATTCGGGTTGAGATTTTTCAACCCAAGTACAACCCTAATTGTAAAAATGATTATCCAAGGTCCACAAAAAATTTATATAAAATATTGATATAAGAGAGGCAAGTGAAATTTACTGTTAAAAGAAATTATTTCAAGGCTCAAAATAATTTTATTGAAATTTAAAAATAATGCTGGCACTAAATAAAATTCGAATTTATCATTCTTTTATACCCATTGGTCAAAAAGTTATTGGATAGTGCAACATTGGAGCCCGAATTAAAGATGGGTTCCAACTCTCATACCAGCGTTTTTCTCTTTACCACTGTCATTTTCCAAAACTAAATTGACCTTTTTGATGGAGAAACGAGTGAGTGGCCATCAGTTCATTATGATAATTACCGAGAACCGTTCAAGTCTCTGTGAGCAATATTGCTTCCTGTACAGTGTGTCTCCTCCTCTTTTTCAAGCTTCGAAGTGTTAATTCAAGGTTTTAGAGGTAAACATCTTAACTGGATTTTTCTGGGTTTTTTTATTTTTATTTTTCAAATAGTTTGTCATCTCAATGCTATGTTCATGTGATTCGGAAACATGGTTGGGTTTGGTTTTATGAAAATTTGTCTTTTGGGTTCAATGGAAGTCCAATTTTGGGTTAAATGAAAATTTGCTTTCTTTTGTTCTTTTAATTCCTATTTGGGGTCACATTGTAAGTCCTCTTTTCTTCTGCTTGTTACAATTTTTATAACTATTTTCTTTGATATGATTGTTATGGTGATAATGACTCATCATTGCCTCTTTTTTCTTACCTTGTATTTAAATGATTTGCTCTTATAATTTGTTCAAACTAAAATATACACTGTACTTTCTATGTAAATGTTTGGAATGTGTTAATGTTGTTCAAACTAAAATATACAATATACTTTCTATGTAAAGTTTGGAATATGTCAACGTAATTGAGGTGGTTTTTTTTTTTTTTTTTTTTGGCTCTGCTGGATTTGATGCTTGTGGTCCTGTGGATAAATTATTATTCTTGATATGTAAATATTTTCTAGGTAAAATATATTTATTTTTTTATTTTTAGGTGATTGGCAAAAGTTTAGGTCAAGGTTGAGTTCCAACAGGCTGGTCGAAAAATGATGGATAAGTTATTTTTGTTAGGTTTTAAATTTTTTTTCTTCGTACTATAACCAAACACCAAAAAATATATATATATATATTTTACATATAAACATAATTCAAATTTTCTTGTTTAATGTTCCTTTTTGATGTTAGTGCTCAATCAATGGATCATTTATTGTAATGGGTCTGTAATTGCAATATCTTCTCTTGTTCCTGTAGAATGGGAAGTACCAATGAGACCAATAATGGTGCATACACCTACGAGAACCTCGAAAGAGAACCTTAGTGGCCATCTATGAAGCTCCGAATTTCTATTAATGGGGCAGGAGGCTTTATAGCCTCACTCATTGCTCGCCGTTTGAAGAGTGAGGGCCACTACATTATAGCTTCTGACTGGAAGAAGAATGAGCACATGACAGAAGACATGTTCTGTCATGAATTTCATCCGGTGGATCTCAGGGTGATGGATAATTGCCTCAAGGTCACTGAAGGAGTCGACAATGTCTTCAATCTTGCCGCGGATATGGGTGGGATGGGCTCCATTCAGTCCAACCACTCTGTTATTATGTATAACAACACAATGATTAGTTTCAACATGCTTGAGGCTGCTAGGATCAATGGGGTCAAGAGGTCTGTCGGCTTAGACTTAATCTATATTGGTACTTTGTAGTTCTTGGATTGTACATTTTTATTGAAATTTGAGTTCTCAAGTCTGAATTTTATCTGCATTAATTGCTTTAGTTCATGCTCTTATTGTTGCATTTACAATAAGTACAATATGTTTTTACCAAGTATTTAGGCTTGGTTTGCTTTCACATCAAATATCTTCCTCTGAAAATATATTCCTTTTTCAGCTAAAATATATAGTTTTTATTTTTATTTTTCGGTGTTTGGCAAAGTTCTAGGTCGAGGCAATGGACAAGTTTTTCTTGTTAGGTTTTGATATCTTTTTTCTTCGTAATATTTTACGACAACCAAACACCAAAAATTAAAAAAGTATTTTTGAAAAAATATTTTACATCTAAACAAATGGAGCCTTAGTAACTTGCAGATGGCTACATGCAGGTTCTTCATTGCCTCAGTGCTTGCATCTACCCTGAATTTAAGCAACTGGAAACTAATGTGAGCTTGAAGGAATCTGATGCATGGCCTGCGGAGGTTTGATACTCTTCTGAGTCAATAACAATATAATCTAATTGTATTTTGTTTTGTAATATATTATTAATATTAGATAAATTTCATTTTATGTTTAGCCTCAAGATGCATATGGCTTGGAGAAACTGGCAACAGAAGAGTTATGCAAGCCTTACACCAAAGATTTTGGAACAGAATGTCGGATTGGGAGATTCCATAAAATTTATGGTCCCTTCGGGACATGGAAAGGTAAGCTTTCAGTGATCACTTATGGTGTTATGCATATGCTCATCTTTATTTTCTTTTTGTAGATTCTATTCTTTGTTACTTTGCTCTATGTGGTATAGGTGGGAGAGAAAAGGCACCTGCTGCTTTTTGCAGAAAAGCCATTACATCTACGGATAAGTTTGAGACGTGGGGAGATGGACTTCAAACTCTATCTTTCACTTTCATTGATGAGTGTGTTGAAGGTGTGCTGAGATAAGCACTTCAATTTCCAATTTTCTTGTAGGTGAAGGCAACATTTTCCATTTTCTTTCTTTGGTAAGTAAGAGCGCGTGCACACACACACAACTCAACACAACCAGTGCAGAGTTGAACCTTCAATCTTTCCCACATGGGATGATGAGGAAATACGACTTGAGCTAAAGGCTTGTGGTAGCTCAAGGCAACCTATTTTGTAATTTTTGAAATTTTCTCTAGGTACTTGGTTAGAAGTTCAAGTTCATGGATATATCTTCTCCAGATTTATCAAAAATAAATGTTAATACCCTAGCAATTTAGATTATGGATTGCAAGCTACAGACCATAGTGCACAGTTTTCTTAAATCACTAAGTTTATTATCTAAAATGTTCTCTTGTTTCCTTTTCCTTAACATTAAATGGAAACATAAAATAGAAATTGAATTGAAATATAATTTGGTAAAGTTTCTTTAGGTGAAGATTTCAGGAAAGGGACATGGTATCAATATCAGCTTCTTCTTTTAATACTTTTGTATTTCATTAATCTACTCCTTGAAGGAAATAAGATGAATCTTGCATTTAGAATTACTTTTAGATATTCCTGTTATGATCAAAACTATCTCCAATCATGCAACAATTTAGGAGTATTTGGAGTACATTTTTAACGTTCCAGTTTTAGGTACTGTATCAATTTAATTTCACTTTAAGCAGCAACAATATTGAACTTCTAGGGAAGCCTTGGTTATTATGTGGCTGAAGATGGAAGATAGGTGAACAAGCCTAATCCATAATTGTCAATCTCTCATTTCTTTCATTGTTGTAAATCTGTTTGTAGGAGTGTGTGCACACCAATGTGTATGAGCAATTTTTATTATGCTGTGCACGTTATAGGCATGCACATGGTTACATTCCTCATTTCCTTTCCTTAATTGCGTTACCATTTTCGATTCAACCTAGATTGACAAAATCAGACTTCCTGGAGCCAGTGAACATTGGAAGCAATGAGATGGTTAGCATGAATGAGATGGCTGAGATTGTTCTTAGCTTTGAGAAGAAGAACCTCCCTATCAACCACATTCCTGGCCCAGAAGGTGTCTGTGGTCGTAACTCAGACAACACACTGATCAAAGAGAAACTTGGTTGGGCTCCAACTATGAAACTGAAGGTACCGATAAAGCTTGAAATCTATATTTGGATGTAATTTCAGTTACTATTCTGAGTCAAATTTGTTTGTTGAAGAAGTTATGCAAATCTCCAGAGTTCATAGTTACGGAAAATTTAAATTTACTACTTCCTACTTTTGTAGGATGGGCTGAGAATTACTTACTTCTGGATCAAAGACCAGATTGAAAAGGAGAAAGCTGAGGGCATGGATTTGTCAGTTTATGGCTCTTCTAATGTGGTGGGAACCCAAGCCCCTGTCCAACTCGGATCCCTTCGTGCTGCTGATGGCAAGGAATGAATTGGTTGGAAGCCAGTCAGCTCTTCTAGTTGCAGTCAAAGAAGGTTTTTCTATTATTATATATTTCTATTAGTGATATGTATACTATATTTCGGAACAAATCTGCTCTTGGATAGTGTAGTACCTTATGAAATCTATATGTGGTTTAATGCATTGATAGATTGTTGCACCTTGACTCGATAGTTTATTTACATGGTTTTAATTGAATTGTTACCTGCACATAAGAAAAGCAAGTTGCTAACGAATTGTTTCCCAAAAATCGTTGTTGTTATCTCTAAATGGGGCTATCATAGTGTAGAAAACAAAGGAAAATTGTGTCCTTTCCTGGTTGAGTTTCATCTGAAATTTGACTGAGATCCTCGTGGGATTTGTTTAAGGTTGGCTGATTTTGTTAAGTTGGAAGATGATATATGTCCATTACTTTTCTAAACAAAGCGTTACGTTAGTTTGCCGCGGATATGGGTGGGATGGGCTTCATTCAGACCAACCACTCTGTTATCATGTATAACAACACAATGATTAGTTTCAACATGCTTGAGGCTGCTAGGATCAACAGGGTCAAGAGGTCTGTCGGCTTAGACTTAATCTATATTGGTACTTTGTTGTTCTTGGAATTTACATTTTTGTTAAAATTCGAGTTCTCAAGTCTGAATTTTATCTGCATTAATTGCTTTATTTCATGATCTTATTATTGTTGCATTTACAATAAGTACAATATATTTTTACTAAAGTAGTTAGGCTCCGAATTCATCGAAAAATATATATTTTTTTCAGCTAGAATATATATTTTTTATTTTATTTTCTGGTGTTTGGCAACGGTCTAGGTCGAGGTTGAGGTCAAGTCCATCGGGTGGATGGATAAGTTTTTTTGTTAGGTTTTAATATCTCCTTTCTTAGTAAAAACCAAAAAAAAAAAAAAAAAAAAAAAAATTCCTCTAAACAAACGGGGCCTTAGTAACTCGCAGCTGGCTACAGGCAGGTTGTTCTATGCCTCTAGTGCTTGCATCTACTCTGAATTTAAGCAACTGGAAACTAATGTGAGCTTGAAGGAATCTGATGCATGGCCTGCGGAGGTTTGATACTCTTTTGAGTCAATGACAATATAATCTAATTGTATTTTGTTTTGTAATATATTATTAATATTAGATAAATTTCATTTTATGTTTAGCCTCAAGATGCATATGGCTTGGAGAAACTGGCAACAGAAAAGTTATGCAAGCATTACAACAAAGATTTTGGAATAGAATGTCGGATTGGGAGGTTCCATAACATTTATGGTCCCTTCGGGACATGGAAAGGTAAGCTTTCAGTGATCACTTATGGTGTTATGCATATGCTTGTCTTTATTTTATTTTTGTAGATTCTATTTTTTGTTACTTTGCTCTATGTGGTATAGGTGGGAGAGAAAAGGCACCTGATGCTTTTTGAAGAAAAGCTAATACATCTATGGATAAGTTTGAGATGTGGGGAGATGGACTTCAAACTTGATCTTTCACTTTCATTGATGAGTGTGTTGAAGGTGTGCTGAGGTAAGCGCTTCAATTTCCACTTTTCATGTAGGTCAAGGCAACATTTTCTGTTTTCTTTCCTCGACAACTCAACACAACCAGTGGATAGTTGAACCTTCAATCTCTCACGTGGGAGAACGAGGAGATACCACTTGAGCAAAAGTCTCGTGGTAGCTCAAGGCAACTTATTTTGTAATTTTTAAAATTATCTCAAGGTACTTGGTTAGAAGTGCATTTTCATAGATCTATCTTCTCCAGATTTACGAAAAAGTGTTAGTATCCTAGCAAGTTACATCTGAGATTGCAAGCTACAGACCGTGTTGCACGATTTTCTTAGAACACTAAGGTTGTAGTCTAAAATGTTCTCTCATTCCCTTTTCCTTAACATTAAGAAGACAGAAAACAGAAAATGAATTGAAATATATATGATGAAGTTTCAGTTATGTTCGAAACTCTCTCCAATCATGCAATTTATTTAAGAATATTTGAAGCACATTTTAACATTCCACCTTTAGGGGCTGTATCAATTTTCTCACTTTAAGCAACAATAATATTGAACTTTTAGGGAAGCCTCCGATACATTTCCTTTTTTAAGAAAAATATGTTCGTGGTTATTATGTTTCTGTAGATGGAAGATAGGTGTCAAAGCCCATTCCATGAATGTCAATCTCACCTTTCTTTCATTGAAATAAAGCTGTTTGTGGGCGCAGGCAAAAGTCAATGTGTATGAGCAATTTTTCATATGATGTGCGCATGATAGCACGCACATGGTTGTATACCTCATTTCCTTTCCTTAATTGCATTACCATTTTGGATTAAACCTAGATTGACAAAGTCAGACTTCCGGGAGCCAGTGAACATTGGAAGCGATGAGATGTTAGCATGAATGAGATGTCCGTGGTCGTAACTCAGACAACACACTGATCAAAGAGAAACTTGGTTGGGCTCCAACTATGTAACTGAAGGTATCAATAAAGAGTTCATAGTTCCCTGTTTGGAAGCTTGAAAATATATGTTTGGATGTAATTTTAGTTATTATTCCAAGTCAAATTTGTTTGTTGAAGTTATGCAAATCACCAGAGTTCGTAGCCCTGCCACAATTAAATTTACTACTTCCTACTTTTGTAGGATGGTTGAGAATTACTTACTTCTGGATCAAAGACCAGATTGAAAAGGAGAAAACTCAGGGTGTGGATTTGTCAGTTTATGGCTCTTCCAAGGTTGTGGGAACCCAAGCCCCTGTCCAACTCGGATCCCTTCGTGCTGCTGATGGCAAGGAATGAATTGGTTGGAAGCCAGTCAGATCTTCTAGTTGCAGTTAGTAAAGGTGTTTCTTTTATTATATATTTCTATTAGTGATATGTCTACTATATATATTTTGGAACAAATCTGCTCTTGGATAGTATAGTACCTTATGAAATCTATTTGTGGTCTAGTGCATTGATAGATTGATTCACCTTGAGATAGTTTTTTTTACATCTTTTTAAAGGTCATGTCATCTCATGGCAAGTGCTCTTTGCTCGCCTTTAATTGAATTGTTACCTGCATATAAGAAAAGCAAGTTGATATATATATATATACTTTTCCCAAAAATCTTAGTTGCTATCTCTAAATGAGCCTAGCATAGTGTAGAAAACAAAGAAAAATTGTGTCCTTTCATGGTTGAGTTTCATCTGAAATTTGATTTGAGATCCTTGTGGGATTTGTTCAAGGTTGACTGATTTTGTTAAGTTGGAAGATGATATATGTTCATTACTTTTCGATACAAAGCTTTTAGGGATAATAGTGAGTTATATTCAATAAACATTCCTACCATGTTTGGAGAGATGTGAACTGCAGTATGAAAGTAGTGCAAATTGAATTTGTTTTCTAATGTGTTCCTTGGTTGGTTATTACTTTTAATCGAGACCAATTTTCTCCCCTTGGTTAATAAAATTCGAATGGCAAGGAACACATGGACAGACATACGGAGAATCAAAATATATAGGAAGGTGCAGTTTTTCCCTGGCAGTGTTTCCGTTATAGGCTTTCAATCTTCATCATTGAAGCTCAAGGGCAATATTGTAGAATCGAGTTATGTGCAGAGTTTGTGGGTTGAAAGAGGAGTCCATTGATCATCTTTTATGTCAGTGTCCAGTTTCTCAGAATGTGTGGAAGCTTTGTCCTTTGAGGATCGAGTTTAGAGAACATGTTCGATGTTGTGACACAGGAGACGATTAGCTTTATCTAGAATCTGGAAGGCCAGTTTTGTCCAATAAAGTGCTTGAGCTCTGCTTCTTTCATTTGTTGGAACCTATGGAAGTGCATTAATTATTGGGGTTTTAATGAGAGATATTCGGATCCACACTTAATTTTGAGCAAGGGTCTTTAGGGTTATCGTGAATTAATTGAAGTGATGAGACAAGAGGGGTTGTGTGCAATGACTATAGGAGCTGTAAGGGCTAATCCTTTGTCCTTTTCTGCTCTGCATCTTTGGTACACGAGATTACAAGGTAAATTTCAGACATGTGCAATCACCCGCAAACCATATATCATTCAAACTTAGGTATTATTGCGTTATGTGAGAGTTGAACACCCAGGACTTCTGAGTTTAAACTTCGATTCAATGTTTCTGTTAGTGTTGTGCATAAAGAGAGTGGAGCGTGAGATCATTCTGGTATACCAGTCAAAGTTGCTTCTGGGTATTTAAAGTGAACCAGTAGTGCTATTGTGGCTGAAGGTTTTGATGCTCAGGAGAGCTTTGAAGCTTCTGATTAAAAGGGGTTATTCAAATGTCTTAGTTGAAGGGTACTACCAGTCGATCATAAATTTTAAGGCTATTGAAGATGCAGTAATAGGGATCATTGAAGATGTGCATCTACTTTTGAAGCAGTGTTTGGAGATTAGTTTATCTTGGGATCCATGTTGTGTAATAGGGTTGCGCTTGTAGTGAGCCAAGTCACACAATTCTTCTCAATGGGTGCCGTTCTCACGCTCCACATGCGCTTCCGCTTCGGCTCCCACTTTGTCTGACTTAAATTTTACTGCTTTCGTGTTCCCACTACGTTTGACCTACGTATTGAGTAGGGAAGCTTTACAAGTGAAGCAAAGTGACAAAATTATAGAAGCGTAGTGACAATATTTGAATAATGACAATGGTTTTCGATAACTGGGGTGTCCGAGGCTTTGTCCCGACTAATCCACAGGACCCGTGCAAGGCCCCCTCGGTCATACCATTTGGAGTTCACTTTCTGTCCTAGATACAACTGATGAAACCAAACTTTTAAGTCAAAAACAAATAGAACCAGAATTTAACAAGATGAAAAAAGAAAAATTACAAAGCTTGATCCAAAGGCCATGAACCTCCGTCCCTCATCTATTTCACCGTATTTTCAACAAAACCCCGAGTCATACCATTTGGAATTCACTTGCTGTCCTTGATACAACTGATGGAACCCAATCACCATCATAAACTGAATTATTCCTGGACTTCTCAAACCTATCTCCATCACCCCACAGGGCATATGCTTCCTCTCCATGCACCGCTTCATCGCCAATTTGAAGATCTTCGTCGTTCAATCTCAGTGGAACTATCAACTTAATGAACAAACAGATCAAACTCGAGGTAACAACGTTGAGAGAGACGATGAAAACGATCCCCAGGAGTTGAATACTCATCTGTCGAAATCCAGCACCAGTTCGGCCACTTTGGAGGCCATATGCTAGGCCAATGAATCTTTCCCAGTCTGGTACCATGTAGAAGAGGCGGCTGAGCTTAGGCACTGCGAAAAAGCCTGTGAGAATGCCGCCCAAGCTTCCGGCAATGGCGTGGGTGTGGAAGACGGCCATGGTGTCGTCTACGTATCGTAGTAGCTTGATCTTGTGGTGGAGCACCATCATTGTGTACCATGGGACACTTCCTGAGATTATGCCCATTAGAATGGCAGCCCAGCATTGTACCACTCCTGCACATTTTTAAAGTAACAAAATTGGAGATTTAAGTATGACTTATTTGAACAAACATATATATATATATATAGGATTATAATATTGATACACTTTTCAAACTCTGAATTAATTCAGAATAATCTGAATTTCTGTGGTCTATGTAATAACCTTGGGTGGAGTCATATAATACTTTTATTGTTGAACATTATGACCCACTAAGACATATCATATGAAGTATGAACTATTGAATAGTGACTCTAAGTGTCTAAGTGAATTGTTTGACCTATTATTTTTGATAGGCTATCTATATCAAACATATGTTAGTGGGGTCTACACATGACCAATCAAAACTTGTCGAATTATCAGCCTAAAAATCATTTTCCTTAAAAAAAAATTCTTGCTATACGAATGTGGAGATATTCTTCTGCTGTTAAAAAAAACTCCTTACATTTTTCCAAGACCAGTGATACACATCTGGAAAAAGAATTCTAGATGTGTATTATGAATGATGATGTAGCTCCTTCTCTCATAATATATATGTGTATATATATATATATATATATATATATATATATATTAGGAAAAGACACGTGCGATGCACGTGGTGAATATTTTGTAACTTATAAAATTTTTGTTTTCATATTGATTAATAAAAATTTATTTTATATTAATAAATAAATACTAAAATATTTTGAAATTGGTGATAGAGTTTAAGTTTCGTAAATTAATAAATTCTTTTATATTTTTATATTAATACTGAAATAAGTATATTTTATTTTTTATTAAATAATTTTTTTTATTTTAATAGTGACATATTTGAGTTTTGCAAAGTAACAAATTTTTTTATAAAAACTATTTAAATATATCCTTATCTAATGTGATAGAGTTTCATTGCAAATAAAATAGGTAATTTGTGGTAGAATTTTATATAGATTATTTATTTTCTTTAAATATATATATATATATATCCTTGTCTAATTATTTTATTTATTTATTAAAAAACTCATAATAAAAGATAATTTGTGGTAGAGTTTTAGAAAAATTATTTTATTTTTTATACCAATTATTAAATATTTTTTATATTAATAATTCTTGTCTAATAATATTATATTTTATTAAAAAATTCATAATAAATACATAAATAGGTAATTTTTATTAGAATTTTATATAAACTCTTTTAAAAAAATATTTTATTTTCTTTAAATATATCGTTGTCTAATTAGATTTCCTTTATCAAAAAACTCACAATAAATAGATAAAAACAAGTTATATGTGATAGAGTTTTAAAGAAAATAAAATAGATAATTTGTGGTAGAGTTTTATAGAAATTATTATATTTACTAGAAATTTATTTATAATAAATAAATAAATAGGTAATTTGTGTTACAGTTTAATAGAAATTCTTTAAAAAAACACTTTTTATATCAATTAATAAATATTTTTTTATATTAATAATTCTTGTCTAATTAGATTTCCTTTTATTAAAAAACTCGTAATAAATAGATAAATGAGTAATTTGTGTTAGAGTTTTATAGAAACTCTTTTCAAACCTCTTTTTATATTAATTAATAAATATTTTTTTTATCTTAATAATGCTTGTCTAATTAGATTTTCTTTTATTGAAAAAACTCATAATAAATAGATAAATAGGTAATTTGTGATATAGTTTTATAGAAACTCTTTTAAAAACTCTTTTTAGATCAATTAATAAATAATTATTTATATTAATAATACTTGTCTAATTAGATCTCCTTTTATTAAAAAACACTTAATAAATATATAAATAGAAAATTTGAGTTAAAATTTTATGGAAACTCTTTAAATATTATATCTTTGTCTATTGTGATAGAGTTTTATTGAAAATAAAATTTGTGATTTGTCATAGAGTTTCATAAACATTATTTTATTTTCTTTAAATATATCCTTGTTTGATTAGATTTAATTTTATTAAGAAACTCATAATAAAAGTTAATTTATGGTAGAGTTTTAGAAAAATTATTTTATTTTATATATCAATTAATAAATATTTTTTATATTAATAATTCTAGTCTAATTAGATTTTCTTTTATTAAAAAATTCATAAAAATAAATAGATAAATGGATTAACTTAAATTTTATTAGATAGATTTTAGAGTTTGATTGATATTTTTTTTTTATTATAAAAACTCTTTGCATATCAATTAATAAATATTTTTTTTATAAAAATAGATAATTTAATACTGAAACTCTTTGCACACGTAATAATACTATAGATAATTTTTTTTTATATCAATTAATAAATATTTTTTTATATAAATAAATAAATAAATACTTAAACACCTTGACACAACTTCTGTATTTTACTCAAAAAATTAGGTTTTCTTTTATTAAAAAATTCATAATAATAAATAGGTTAATTTGAAATTTATTAGGTAGATTTTAGAGTTTTATAGAAGTTTTTTTTATTTATAAAAACTCTTTTTATATCAATTAATAAATATTTTTTTATATAAATAAATAAATACTGAAATATTAAAACTTATTTCACATTTAATAAATATTTTTTAAATAAATAAATAAATACTAAAACTTTAGATTTTCTATTATTAAAAAATTCGTAATAATAAATAGATAAATAGGTTAATTTGAATTTTATTAGGTAGATTTTATAGTTTTATAGAGTTTTTTTTTCTTTTATTATTATTATTATTATTTTTATAAAAAACTCTTTTAATGTCAATTAATAAATATTTTTTATATAAATAAATAAATACTGAAATACTAAAAGTCTTTGCACATTTAATATTTTATTTTCTTTAAATATATCCTTATCTAATTAAATTTAATTTTATTAAGAAACTTATAATAAAATTTAATTTGTGGAAAAGTTTTAGAAAAATTATTTTATTTTATATATTAATTAATAAGTATTTTTTATACTAATAATTCTTGTCTAATTCAATTTTCTTTTATTAAAAAATTCATCATAATAAATAGATAAATAGGTTAATTTAAATTTTATTAGATAGATTTTGGAGTTTGATAGAGTTTTTTTTTTTAAAAAATACTTTTCATATCAATTAATAAATATTTTTTTTTTTATAAATAGATACTTAAATACTGAAACTCTTTGCACATTTAATAGTAGTATAGATAAAATCTTTTTTTATATTAATTAATAAATATTTTTTTATATAATTAAATAAATACTGAAATACTTTGGTAGAACTTCTGTATTTTACTCTAAAAATTATATTTTCTTTTATTAAAAAATTGTAATTTGTAAAACGTAATAGACTATTGTAAAAAATATTTTTAAACTCTTTTTACATAAATTCATAAATATTTTTATATTTATATAATTCCTATCTAATTAGATTAGCTTTTATTAAAAAAAAATCATAATAAAAGGTAATTTGTGGTAGAATTTTAGAAAAATTATTTTATTTTTTATATTAATAATTCTTGTCTACTTAGATTTTATTTTATTAAAAAACTTATAATAAATAAATAGGTAATTAATGTTAGAGTTTAATATAAACTCTTTTAAAAACTCTTTTTATGTCAATTAATAAATATTTTTTATTTTAATAATTATTGTCTAATTACATTTACTTTCATTAAAAAACTAATAATAAATAGGTAATTTGTGTTAGAGTTTTTTAAAAACTCTTTTAAACCCTCTTTTTGTGTTAGTTAATAATAATTTTTTATATTAATAATACTTGTTTAATTAGGTTTCTTTTTATTAAAAAACTCATAATAAATTGATAAACAGATAATTTGTGTTAGAGTTTTATAGAAACTCTGTTGATAGAGTCTTATGGAAAATAAAGTAGGTAATTTGTAATAGAGTTTTATAGAAATTATTTTATTTTCTTTAAATATATACTTGTCTAATTAGATTTAATTTTATTAAGAAACTCGAGTTATATAAAAATTATTTTCTTTTATATATCAATTAATAAATATTTTTTATATTAATAATTCTTGTCCAATTAGATTTATTTTATTAAAAAATTGATAATAATAAATAGATAAATAGGTTAATTTAAATTTTATTATGTAGATTTTAGTATTTTATCATATTATTTAATAAATATTTTTTTTACATAAATAAATAAATACTGAAACTCTTTACACATCTAATAATAGTATATATAAAAACTCTTTTTATATCAATTAATAAATATTTTTTTATATAAATAAATAAATATTGAAATACTTAAACTTTTTGACAGAGCTTCTGTATTTTATTCTAGATTTCAATTCTTTTTATATCAATTAATAAATATTTTTTTATATAAATAAATAAATACTGAAACTCTTTGGTAGAACTTCTGTATTTTACTGTGGAATTCTAAATTTCTAGAATTCTCAATTTCTGTACCCCTTCCTCCATGTCTCTATTTATAGGATTCTTAGATGAATAGGATAATGACATGTGTCCTTTTCTGATAATGACATAATCATAACAGGCCGGTTATATTGTGATAATTATTCATAAAACATAACTAAAAATAAGAGTTTTATATAGAATATGATTGATTTTATTAAGTAATTTTTAGATTTTTATAAAAACTATAATTATCCATAAAAAAAAAAACTAAAAAGAAGAGTTTTATATAGAACGTGATTGGTTTTATTAGGTAAATTAGATTTTATTTTATTAAAAAACTTGTAATAAATAAATAAATAGATAATTTGTGTTAGAGTTTAATATAAACTCTTTTAAAAACTCTTTTTATTACAATTAATAAATATTTTTTATTTTAATAATTCTTGTCTAATTAGATTTACTTTTAGTAAAAAAACTCAAAATAAATAGATAAATAGGTAATTTGTGTTTTAAAAACTCTTTAAAAACCTCCTTTTGTTTCAGTTAATAACTAATTTTTTTATATTAAAAATTCTTATCTAATTAGGTTTTCTTTTATTAAAAAACTCATGATAAATTAATAAATTGGTAATTTGTGTTAGAGTTTTATACAAACTCTTTAAATATATCTTTGTTGATAGAGTTTTATTGATAATAAAATAGGTAATTTGTAATAGAGTTTTATTGAAATTATTTTATTTTCTTTAAATATATACTTGTCTAATTAGTTTTATTGAAATTATTTTATTTTCTTTATAAAAATTATTTTATTTTATATATCAATTAATAAATATTTTTTATATTAATAAATCTTGTCTAATTAGATTTTCTTTTATTAAAAATGGATAATAATAAATAGATAAATAGGTTAATTTAAATTTTATTATGTAGATTTTATTGTTTTATAGATTTTTTTTTTTTTTTTGTTTTAGTAAAAACTCTTTTCATATTATTTAATAAATATTTTTTTATATAAATAAATAATGAAACTCTTTACACATCTAATAATAATATAAATAAAAACTCTTTTTATATCAATTAATAAATATTTTTTTATATAAATAAATGAATACTGAAATACTGAAACTGAAACTATTTGGTAGAGCTTCTGTATTTTAATCTGAAATTCTGGATTTCTAGAATTCTCAATTTCTGTACCCCTTCCTTCTTCCTCCATGCCTCTATTTATAGGCTTCTTGAATGAATAGGGTGATGACGTGTGTTCTTTTCTAATAATGACATAATCATAATTGGGCCGGGTCGGTTATATTGTGATAATTAATTATAAAAAATAACTAAAAATAATAGTTTTATATAGAATGTGATTGATTTTATTAGGTAATTTTTAAAGTTTTATAGAAACTATAATTATCCATACAAAATAATTTAAAAATAAGAATTTTATATAGAATGTGATTGATTTTATTAGGTAATTTTTAAAGTTTTATAGAAACTATTTTTACAAAAACAATTTTTGTATCAATTAATAAATATTTTTTTATATAAATATTGAAACACCGAAACACTTTGCACATTTAATAATAGTATAGATATAGTAATAATACAGAACTACATGCTATACATACTTGTCAGATTTGCCATAAATTTGATACACCACCTTGAAAGATTGTTCTTAGGTGGAGGTTGGGGGCAAATCGTCAAATTATGGAGATCATGTCCATAACACATGGAGAACGGCTTATTATACCAAAATAATAATAATAAAAAAACTTCTATAGAAAAATCTAATAAGTTTAATTTAGGAGTATTTTTTTTATTTCGCTCTACATTTGCCAAATTTGGATGTAGCATATACTATAGAGAATAGATCTATTTTTATTGTTATTACTTTGGGATACTCATCTACAAACAATTGAATTCAGGTGAGAACTTAGGTGTTGAAGTTTAGATTTGGGAGAGATTGTGATAAGGGAAGAAAAGAAGATGAACATAGAAAATTTATAATTTAAAAAAAATTCCGAATCAGCCAAAGAACAAAAAGAGAAAATTATAATTTCTATATGATGGAAAGAATAAAAAACAAAAAGGGAGGAAAAGACGCAAGAAGTGGCTAAGAAATAAAGTTTATAGTGTCTTGAAGTTCAAGATGCATATCATGAAAATGAATTCATGACATGTACTCCTTCTGTCTCAAGATATTTGGTCACTTTGGAAACTGTACAGTTTCCAAAATGTTCAACTAATTTGAAATGGAGGGAGTATCATTTTCTTTTTTTCCAATTGAATTAATACGCACAATCTTTTAATTTGAAAATTAAAATATTTAAAATGCCATTAAGAATATTGATTATATAGCACCTTCACTCTTTCACATCTGGGCGATGTGAGACTTGTGAGCACACGTAACCCACACCAGAGCCTTGCCTCTCACAAGCTTGCTTCCGCCCACCGAGCCTCACAATTCCACCACCTTGGGTGTCCGACGTCCCCGTCGGTACACTTCCTGGTAGGTCAAGTCTACAAATTAGGGAATTCTGATGAGTTAATCTCTATTTCGGCTTTAGAACGCGTTATGTCATAGAGGAATATTGAACCTACATATATCACTTCACTACTTTACACCCATGCAATGTGGGACTTATATGGCTCGCACCATATCATTACCTCTCACAAGCTTACTCCCGCCCACCCAACCTCATAATACTTTGTAGTTTTTATAAAAACAAATGATTGTTTATGTGTACATTTGGTACAAAATTTTAAATCATAGAAATTTATATGAAAGATAGCATGGTTGTTAATGTGTACTTTTTATTATATAAGTTCTATGATATGTAATATTATTTATATATATATATATATATATATAAATGATAGTGATTTGTGAGTTGTACCTGCGCCGGGAGTGATGCAAACCAAGCCGGTGATCATGCCCTGCACGGCTCCAATAGCAGAGGGCTTACCATAGATGAAGGTGTCGAGTACAAGCCAGGTGAGCAAGCTGGTAGCCGCACACACGTGGGTGTTAAGCGCGGCTAGGGACGCGTCCATGCTAGCCACGTAAGGAGCTCCGCCGTTGAACCCGGTCCATCCGATCCACAGCAGCCCCGCGCCGGCTAACATCATTAGGATGTTGTTCGGAGGGAACATCTCCCTGTCCTTGTCTGCTCTAGGGCCCACCTATACATACATATATATATATACACACACACATGTAAAATGAATTATACAATGATTACATTGAAGCAATAAGATTCTGTGAGTACATAAACGAATGTGCTACCACCACTAGTGGACATCAGTTTGGCTGTATGTGTGTGTTCTTTCTCTCGAGTCATTTACTTGATCCGTGTAGTTCCGTAACGAATGAGAGGTTGGTCATTTATTTCGAGAGTTAATATATTATTTTAAATTTAATTTTACATAAATTTTCATAAATAAATTGTTGATGTTTTTCTGAGATCGGTTGGTAGTTCATTTTGAGAATCAACATATTAAATAGATTCGAAAATGGACATATAGTATTTACAAAATAAATAAATAAATAAATTTATGACTGAGAATATGGAATTTAGCCATTACCTGAGAATATGGAATGTATAGCAAATGATCTTGCATGGCAGCACCAAACAAAATAAAGATGAAAAGTTTGGGGTAGGGCTGGATTGGTCTGTTACTTAAAAAATAGTTTTATATTTAAAGAGAATAGAAAACTAGAAAATTGTAAAAAAATTTTGCTTGATTTAATTTTTTGAAAGCTATTTTTTTAAAATCCAACTATAAAACATTTGTTTTCAAATAAAATTATTGTTTTTTGTTTTTTATTTTTGAGAACCACGAAAAAAATATTATTTTTACGAAACTGTGACTTGATAGTTTCTCAAAAAGTGACATTTTATTAGGATCTAAGTCACATAAAACGAGAGCGAGAATAAATTTGAGAACGGGAGTATGAGAGCGGTAGAATTAAATCATAAATAGTAAGAATTTGAGCCAGAGTGCGGGGAGCATGAAAGCGGAAGCGTGTTTGAAGAGTGTGAGCAACACCCGTACGTTGAGAAGGATTGTGTGAGTTGGATTGGGACAGAAGTAGTATTATTTATTTTGTGAGAGATGTTTTCTGAGTGACAAAGCAAGTATGGCGTTTGTGGTCTATTTTTAAGAATTTAGGTTTTGTGTAGTCAACACCAAATAAGATCAGATCAATAAAAGTTTGCAGTAGTATAAAAAATTTATTGTTACCAGTAAGCTGAATGCAAGGGCTTACTCATTTTTATAGTTTGTCCCTCAAAAATAATTTTATGTTTAAAGAACAGAAAACTGTATTTTATAATTTTCTACAAATTATTTTTTATTTTAAAAATTTTTAATTACTATTTTTTAAATTACAAACTAAATAGACAAGGAAAAGTAAAATATTGAAAGTCTGCGGTTCTTTATTAAGAATTTAGGTTTTGGGCGATGTGTCATTATTATCATTTTGCAGTTACTACTGTATTCATGCTTTGTGGCAACACCATGCATGCATATATATATATATATATATATATATATATATATTTATTTATTTATTTATTGATGGTTAATTACTTACCCAATAAGCAGTAGTGAATCCAGCAACTCCAGAGGAAAGATGAATGACATAACCACCTGCAAAATCAATCACTCCAAGCTTGGCCAACCACCCATCTGGATTCCAAATACTATAAGCTCCAATTGTATACGAAAATGTAAGCCACAGAGGCACAAACAACATCCATGCACGAAAGTTCATCCTCCCCAAAAGTGCTCCAGCAACCAAAATCAACCTAAGCCCTGCAAACATGAACTGGAACAGCACCATGGTGGCGGTCGGAAAATACCCTAGAAATGCCCGATCCAGAAGAAACTTTTGGTCCAACGCGACGTCCGGTTTGCCCCAGAAGGCGACGAGTCTGTAACCGAATGCCATGTTATAACCCCACCCCACCCAACAGACGAGGACGGCTGCAAAGGCGTAGAAAGCCATGAGTGCAGAGTTGATGGCCCATTTCTTCTTGACCATGCTTCCGTAGAGGATGACCAGCCCCGGGATGCTCTGTAGGCCAACGAGCGTGGCGGCAGTGAGCTGCCACGCGTTGTCGCCCTTGTTCATCCACTCGGGGCTTGCCTCGTCCGGGAGGAGGTTCGACGGAAGCTCCATTTTTGGTGTTCGATATCAAGTGAAGGTGGGAATTATGGAATGGAATGAAGTAGCTAGTGATGTGATATTTATTAAATGTATTGGACTTCAAGGCCGGCCATATTTTCTTAATTGACTAAGTGGGAGATAAGGACATACACTGAGAACTCCATTAGCAAAATGGAAAAGGAGTTGAAAGAAATATCAATGACTAAAGTCCAAGAGTGTCCTTATGTGAAATGCATTTTCCAACAAGTTGAAGATTAAGAATGTTTTCTTTGCCATTTAGATAGAAAGGGAACTTTCTTTGTTGAAAAATTGAGGGGATAAATTACACCGACCTATTTCGAGGTTTGAAAAAATTATAAAATGGGTATTTATCATTCAGCGTTTAATACTTTAACTTTTCTTGAATTGAAATTTAACGTGTGCTCAGTGGCATCTCTAACATTTCTTTTAGATAGATCTATTAAATTATAAAATTCAACGTAATATACCATCCGTCCCAAAATAAGTATCAACCTTTTCATTTTTATCCGTCCTAATATAACTATCGAATTTGAACCCAATAAAGGTAAATTTGGTAATTCATTCACTACAATACAAAAAAAAAAAAATAATAAAAAAAAAAATAAAATAAAAACCCCTAATGCTCTCAAGAGATCCCTCTCATGAGAAGAGTCATGAACTCTCTCTCTCTATTTAATCATCGGAAAAAACAATTTTTTTGAGAGTGAGAAAAGTCAAATCAATTATTTAATGTATCTAAGTTAAAAAATAAGAGAATTCATGACTCTTCTTATGAGAGGGACATCTTAGGAACATTATTCATAAAAAAATTATAATAAAAATTATTCTCTTAAAAAGTTAAATTTCCTAAAATGACACTTATTTTGTGAGTAGACAATATACTGACTTTTATATTTAAAGTCACTTTTCAACAGTTGGCGAACGAGTTTAGATAATGTCAAAGTAATAAATATTCAATAGTCTATTCAAAGAACCAAAATGAGAAAAGATGAATAACGGAAGAAACGACATCAAAAACTAAGTCCCGAGTAAAAAGATATGCTTCGAACAAGTTCGACAGCAATCGGGGTCAGAAACCTTGAAAATGAAGAAAAATGATCAAAAAGTGTTATAATATGTTCAAACCTCAATTAAAGTCAGTGTAATTTATTTATAAAAAAAACAAAAAAGAAATAAAAAGGTTAAGTTTAAAGAAATGCTTTAACTTTGTTTTTCCATATAGTGTATTTGTTGTTGTCACTAAAACAATGATAATTAAATGAATGTGGACGTAAATTTAAGAAAGAAAAACAAAAGGGAAGACAGAATGAGGACTGCTTGTCCATAGTACTAAAAGCTTATTATTCTCAATATTTGTTGTAAATTTACACTCCATTTCTTTTACACGACCATTCAATATTCGTACAGGCCCCCACATTGTTCCCCACGCTGTCTATGTTACTCCTCATTCCATCTGAATTGTGCGCGTGTGGTGTTGTTATACGGAGTACTACTATTTTATCATATAACTTGTTTTTTTTGGTTACAAGGAAATCTCAATCGGGGGTTTTGCTCCATGTACTTTGGACTGAGAGTTTTTCTAGTTTGATTGTATCATCTTATATCTACCTTTGGCTGTGAGATTACATTTTTTTATTTTTTTATTTTTTTTTATAATTATAATAATAATTATTATTTTATTCTGACAATAAAAAACAGTTATACGGCATCTACAAAGCACAAACCAACAAAATAACATTACATACAAAGGAATAAGACAGATAACAAACAAAGCCACCACAAGCTATGGACACAAAGATCCTACAACCCCACAAGCATTCCACGGCCCAACCAAAGAAAAGACTCATGGTCAACTGATAATGATTAATTGCAAGCCACAAATATGGGCTTAAAACTGCATTGAATTGAACATCGGTTCCATTTAACATACCCACCATTGATTGGACTGAGCCATAACCAAAAAGGGCCATTTGGTTCTGCATACTTCAACATCCATTAGAATCTTCACCTAGACCCACACTAGTTTTCCCATCTTGGGCAACACGCATAGAAAACCCTAACAACCACGAGGTCAGATGACGGGACATATGGACTGCCTACAACAGTGACAAGAAACTAGGTCTGACTAAAAACAAAGCCCATATCCACAAAATCCATAGGCACCACATATATTATTGCCTGTGTACCTCCTAACTGGTTTTGTGGAGGCAAGATAAGACATCCCATAGGGCTCACTGCTCCAATATAGATATCCAAATTTACGTGCCCACCACGTTGATGTAATAGAACCATCATGATTTTTTAATTTTGTGGTTCATTCTGACAGACAAATAAATGACGTGGGTTTCGAGAAGGACCCAGAGTAGCCGGCAATCGAAAAGTAGGTAGAATCAATTTCGCCGATAAATCCCTAAACATTGAAGCCTTCATAACAGAGAAACAACTTCGACCTAGACTAGCAACCAAACACCGCTGATAGTCCGATGTTTTGCCAGACCATTATTTTCCTGGGCACATATTCACAGACTATAATTGGCGCCGTCTAGCACTACCATGGATTCAAGTGATGAACAGTTACGGTGATAAGGCATTTCCGTGGCTGAAACAGACGGACTGGAGCTACTACAAAAGGAAAAAAGCAAAATCTGCCAAGGTAATAGAACACTTAAATGTGAAAAGCAGGACTAGATCACCGATTTTAAAAGAGCTTGCTGGCTGATCGTCATACCCACTAGCAAACATCTGAGTCAGAGAGAACGAGAGACAAAAGACAACCAACAAAGAAATCGATGCAGAAAGGAATTGGAGAAAACGTACGTGAAATGAGACAGTTAACAAAGGAACACGTACCAATACCAGGATAAAAAGGATAATTGGTGTGGCCCTTCTCCAAAAGATTGCCAACACTCCAAAAGCCATGAAGGAACACCATGACCACAAACGTTGCCAGCCTGCTATAGTTCGCAGCACGGGGCGAATACACACCGTAATCACGAAGGTCATGGGAGTAAAGGGAAGCCATCCCAAGGAACAACGAACCACTGACAGAAGACATCGGACTCTGATCAACAGAGAACCTCAATAGAGAGAAAGGAACCTTTACAGAGAGAGGAAACATGACTAAAATTCGTTATCATTTCTTTGGCTGTTAGATCACACTTTTTTTTTTAAAAAAGCACAAGGCTAACCAATTCACAAGAATTCAATTTTTTTATAGCAAATTTTAATAATACTTCAAGTCAGATAGAATCAACGAGAACGAGAAAAGAAAGGATATATAATATTTTGAATTTTTTTTTAAGAGTTTGGTTAGATATTAAAGGTAAAGTTCTGGAAAATTAAAAGATTCTCATTCTCATAACTTTCTATTTTCTTCAAAACGTTTCCTGAATAAAATGCGGAAATTTTTTTATTTTCACGTGAAAGCAACATCTTTTTATTTTGTGTTCCTATTTGCCCAACAACTTCATTGCATTATTTTACACAAGTATTTTTTTTTTTTTTTTACTGAGTTTCAAATAATTGCAGTCAAACAACAACTTTATCTTTTATAGGGTTTTAATGAACTTGACTTTCGTTTTTAATTGTTTTCCATCATATATGAATGAAATAAATAGTAAACTATTACAAAGTTTAAATTAATTGAAAACCCTATTATTATTTTTTTATATACTTACTACTAATTAAAATTTTTTATTATTATTTTACTATTTTTATAAAATAAGGACAATTTAGTTATCTAAACTATAACATGATATTTTTCTATAATTTTCTTGAATAAATTTTCATCTTAACTTAATACATACTAAAAAATCAATTTTCTTTTCATTCACTTCACTTTTATTTTTATTTTTGGGTAAAGTACAAAAACAGCTCCTGAGGTTTGGGAAGAGGCTATGCAGATGAAAGTTAGCCTATTTTTGGACAATGACACCCCTTCAAGTTTGAAAATGGACAAAAAGACCCTGATGATGGTGAATTAACCTTATTACCCTTTGATATAAAATTGACATTTTAATTGACTTAAATAACCTTGGATTAAACCCTAACCTAAACCCAAACCCATCTCAAACCCTAGCCCAAACCCGCTTGTGTAAAGAACCCCTCAGCCGCCCCCACCTCATCATCATTCTCATGTGGTGGTGCTTGAACCCATCGTCATGGTAGGGGTGATGTCGACGCATGCCGCTATGGAACATCATCAGATTAAAGTCACTGTTCTCATCTTCTCTCCTCTATGTTCTCTCTTCCTCCACCCCAACACCAACAAACACACACACACACACACACACACATACACACATGTATATACAGTCGGCGATGATGAATGGATCCGTGGCCTTCATCCTTCGATTTCGTTAACTGACAGAGCCTTCATCCTTCAAATCCGACTCTAGTTCCACGGCCCGCCTTTGATTCCGTCAACCAATAGAGCCCCATAGTCGCCTTCCATTCCATCAATCTACAGAACCAAACCCAATCCTCTGATTTTGCCGCCACAAATATCCAGCGTAATTGATCCGTACATCCACAAACACATGGTAGATCGCTGTCGGAATCGATGGGGTCGCCGAAATCCTTGGAGCTGATAGTTACAGATAAGGTGAGTGTGCCAACTATGACCCTATGAGTCGGATTCCCTTTCTGTAGTTGTAGCCTAGCACGAATAGGTTGTAACAGTGAGGAGTAGGACAGAAGAAGCCGATGAGATTTATGCCTCAAGATCAAAAGTTGGAGCAACGAGATGGCGATTGTTTGCATCATCCACTTCCGAAGAATCACTCTTTCTTACATTGCCGGTAGTGAACGTACAAGTGAGGGTTGTGGTGTTGATTTTATTGTGGGTAATGAGTTAATGGTGGTGGTTGTGAGGGTGGAGATGTGTGATACCCCTCGATTCTAGAGTCACGGATGACTAAGTCCGAGCACAGAACCGAAGGATATCGAACAATTAAGTATTTAACAAGCATAGAATACAAAATAAATTAAGA